AGTAGGTTACTCCTGTTGACCAGGATTTGTCACATTAGATTTGTGAAATTATCTCCCTTTTGATTATGTCCATCAAAGGCATATTATTTTTATACCGGTCTTATTTAACGTCAGAGTTATCGCGCTTGGCAAGTGAGAGGCTCCGGCCATGCTTTATGGGCAGTAAAATGGAAAATTAGGAAATAATAGGTCATCCGATTGCATCGGAACATATAGGACAACTAAGATGTAAGTACTCTTTATTTCTTACGTCTAGAGTATTGTTATTCTACATCTATGTACCTGTTAGGGTAATTATAGTGTAAATTAAAGTGATTTCATCTATCGGTAAAATAGCACAGATTTTGGTCACACGCTTTATCTACATATAGGCTCAATTGCATTAATTTCCGTACATTTAATATGAATTTGTTGATTTTCACTCTGTAAAGTGTATCTGTCAGGAAAGATACATGTAGTTAATTTGTGTGTATGTTTTACCTAGGCTACAATGGAGATAAATTTGATGTAAGGAATCCTTTGAACTTCGTCAACTTATGCTATTGTAAAAGGTTTGTAATCAGGATATATTTCACCTTTCAACTTGTATCAATTACTGTAGTCTTATTTTGTATATTATCCTATCTGCTTCATGTTATAAGGTACAGTTACTTTGAAATAGGACATAGGATTTATGGAACTCCATTGTAATTCAGGCCTTTGCTTTGTTTACAGCTTTTTACTATATGAATGATCAGTGTAATTTCAATCTGAGAACTGGAATAAATAACGCCACTGACAAGCAGTTTGCGTTGAATTCATTAGACCAGAGCGCAGACAGCACAATTCCAATGTTATCAAATTCACTCATGACAATCAGAACCAAAACACACTCGTTGAAACAATGTACAACATGGTACGTTTTGCAAGGCTTCATGAGTGCAAATGGCGGCACACGTCCTTTCTATTCAATCGAACATGTACAGGAACGGTTGATCTACACATAAGTCATTGCTCAAGATATTCCGCCGACGCATGATAATGAAAAGTTTATGTCTTGATAACTTACAGGATGTAATCAACTCACATTTCATACTGAAAACTCCATTACATTCCAAGTGGCAGTTTCGGCTCGGGGCAAACGAGAAGGATGTGGCGAAGAAGAGTAGTCCCCCATTGATAGTGAACGTAACCTCAGCAATGTCACATTCAAGCACACTGGGTGCACCTAATTTCACACACTCAAAAGATGGGAGAACATTGAACGTAAACTGGTACACAAGTACAGATCCCCAATGTGCAGAGATATCCAAAACAATCTTCCGTTGACGACAACCACCAAGCGATAACGATGACGTCACTCGCTCAAATATTTTACGCTTGCAAGAATTAAAATCATCCACATTTGCATGGTAACATCATCATTTTAGAGTGTTTAATTAATTTTCTGTGATCTTATCTCGTTATCATTATCACCAGTGCCTTGATGATGCGAAGAGGTGGCAGAAACGTTTTTGTGGAGGGTCACCATGGGGATGAGTAGTGATTAGGAAGCCAAGTGACGTCACTCATTCATACAAGTTGTGTTGTGTATTATTGCGCACCTACGATGAGAAAACATGAAATTTGAATCTATTCGACCATAAAATGGTGCGATTTTATGGTGTGTAAGAAACAGATTACTGTACTCGTGTCTGTCAGATACCATTTATCTTACAACTCGTTGTTTCAAAACGTATTTACCTCGCTTTCGCTAGTTAAATACGTTTTGAAACAACTCGTTGTAAGATAAATGGTATCTGACAGACACTCGTTTAGTAATCTCTATATATCTCAGATGGTGAAGCATAAATATTGACTGTGCGACTGACCAAGAGCACAAGAACCAGTAACACCATACCAGCCAAAATGGCTGTCAGTGGCGCCCGATATACATCTTTTGAACGAGTAAGATTCATCGGAGCCAAATTGATTATATGAAACATGCTGTGATACAGACAGTCATCACAACTGACGACAAAGTCAACATCTGTTTTTAAGATACCAAACATTGCAAACTTATTGGGAAGATTCATTCGTTAGGTTCTCTTGAGTAGCCGATATCTATATTGCATGATCGCTGAACAGTTGTTCGCGCAATGGTCCATATATATTTGTTTGATATTTGATCAAAGATGTATGGATCACAAATGAATATAACACGTCACAATTTAATTCTGGACTCACAAAAGTCCAGAAACTCTACGCACTGTGGACACTTTTGACAAGGGATTTGACCAAATCGAACATGCAGTTGTTATAAATACATGCCAAGGATGAAAAAAGGAAAAAAAATGTTTCGAAAACTTTCAATTTCAACTCGCTCGCCCATGGGAAAACAGTGGCCAGTGTAAATTGAAAGTTTTCGAAACATTTTTTTTTCCTTTTTTCATCCTTGGCATGTATTTATAACAACTGCATGTTCGATTTGGTCAAATCCCTTGTCAGAAAGTGCCCACAGTGCGGAGAGTCCAGAATTAAATTGTGACGTGTTTGTTAGTTAACCGCCCTTGTTATAATAGTTCCGATTTACCCTGTCGGTGATGTAACATTTAGAATGTTTTTGTTCAAAACCAATTACACCGAAAGTTTAGAAAACAATAACATATTTTATCAAATTTTTAAAAACTGATTTCATCATGAAGAAAAGAAACAGACCGCCCATCAGTCGACGTGAAGTGCCTAAGTTCAGCAATGGCCGTAGCGGGTGGCTGTGTGCCGAGGAATTTGGCCATACATTTATCATTCGTGGGCGTTTCATGGTGAGGGACATAAACGATAATTCGATTTTATGTATTTAGAAGGCTGACTGAGCATTTATGCATTCAGTACATGTCCATTTCACAAGTACATGACTCTTGGTAAATAGTTGTTGCAAGTAATATTTGAGGATGACATGACTCAGTGTGTTGCCACTGTTTCTGCTGGTATTGTATCAGATTGTGATACTCAAAAAATCTCGAGCTCAACTGGCAAATCATATTTTTTCCTTAAAGTTTGTGTTTCAAAATCAATATTTGGGATAGACGATTCACAAGAGAAATGTTGATATCGTGATAACGATCCCAATAACTATGAAGTCGATAACCTGAAGCACACTTTCTGTCTGAATCTGTTCCTGAATAAGCGTTTACGTTATTCTGGGAAGGAAAAAAGGGCGGAAGCTATTGGCAGGCTGTAATAGCGACCGTGATATTTTATAGCTCAGAACATCTCAATTCACACTCTGTGAACCTGGCCGTGTATGTGTATGTGTTGTATTCATTGAACAAGGACACACATGTGTCAGTATGTTTGTGCTGAGCGTATGCTTAACTCATTTTCAAGTGAAGGTACAGGTTCCCATACTTGTTTGAGTTAAAAGTGTCGACAGAAGTTAACATTGTCCAAAATTCAGTTTCCTTTATTGAGGCTGTAAACGATAATTGATTAATGTTTTAAACGTATCATCAAAGATCTATTTTCATCACAATAACCTTTTAAGTTTCCATTTAATGGACTGGTATTAACATGATAACTAGTGTTGGTCTCATTTGTATGACAGACATCGCAGCTTTGTACGATGTCCGATAGATTTGAGACAGTGGTTCTTTTCTAACAAGATCGTTTCGAAAATTGGGACCCCGACAGCTAGGCGTTGTCTTCACGTACTTCATCTGAATGATCTCCGACCATATTTGTGCTGCCGGTTACAACTCGTCCTGTTTCCAACAGACGATAATGGTACACACAAACCCTAAATTTGGGACGTTTTGGCTGATTATGTTTCAGTCCTGACTGAAGTTAGTCTTCCTTGATAGACGTAGACGTGTCTACCATATAAGGGAGACGTGCGCGTCAACGTCATGGGGCGCAAACTTATTTGGCTGAACATGCGACAGCAGAAATAGGAAATAGTACCTCAAATCACCATTGGGGAACCTATACACACTATGCCTTGTAGAATGGATGAATGTTTGCCAGATTTTAATCTGTCCTCATCATTTTACCCACCCCAACCCCATCCACCCACTCATGGTAATTTAAAGGCACTATTTCACACCACACTTCTGTAAAATAATGCAGTTCTCTCAATAGTACTGACTATCAGTCATAAGGAAAGCTACCACATAATTTATTTTAAAAGATACGTATGTGGATTAAAATATGAAATTAAACAGTTCGACTGAATAAATGCAACGTTGCATTCTCGCGCCCCACTACCGGTTGAAATTATTTCAAGCGAACCCCTTGGAGCGCTCTTTACGAATATCCCATAACTCCTTTGGAGACAGAAACTGAGTCAAGACAAAGTGACGCTACTGTCTGGTGCAAAAACATACGCGCAACTTGTGACTAAAACCAGTTTGGGAAACACCCACAACACCGCGGGCGATAGCTTTCGATGTTCGGAGGAATTGTTTACAATCCATACATGGTAAGTGTTCTTTGTGTAGAATCTGTTTGCCTCGAAGTTTCAATTATCGATTTCAGGCAAGTCGTAATGGATAATAAGTCTTTTATTGCATCAGGTGGAACCTTAATTGAGTGCATATTCCCCGATATGTATAATATAGGCCAAAATATTGTCGAAAATGTGTGAAATTGTTCCTATAAGATCGCTGGACGTCATATTATATTCTATCAAGCATCACTACATGTTGTAATATATTCCCAAATTGTTTTATGACATAACTAGTATCAGAAACGTTATGTTAAAGTATATAACTGTATGTATGGTCTTGGTGTTCATGATCTGTTTCAATAATTCCGCCAATTGTACTTTATATTGACATTCCGTAATTATCGTTAGGTGGGGATTTTTCAGGAAATTCTTACTGAGGTACTGAATGCATTTCTGCACAGTTTCTTTTCATCTGTGTCTTGCATCCATGTGTGCATGCCATGTGTCATTTTGTCACCGCGTAATAATTCAAAGTATGGTCACTGTCACAACGTTTGATAGATGGTTTTTATGTTAGATCCAACAAACAAATTGGCACTTTTGGAATATTTGCTTTTATTTATTTTAGATATATTTTGCTTATCCAACAAGGCTTCCGTCTGTTATTCTGAAAATGAAAGGTATAATAAGTAATTATATGACTGTGAATTTAAGTCTCTACAATATATATCTTGTGCAGATAAAGGGTTTTAGCAAGAAGAAATATCAGGACTCATCTTTAACATATATCCCATGCTATCTGAAAACTAAGTCCATGCATACCAAATAATTAAAATTAGTGTGTTTTGTCACAACAATCTCAGAAAGAGAAGTATCTTGATAAATCATACTGTTTTTCGCAGATGAAATTTGCTTGCGTGGCATGGGTAATCTCCCCATTTATAGTTGTAATTGGGCCATATGACCATACAGTCCCCACAGGTTGCGCAGCCTTCTGGCTCTTTGGGTCCCCAGTCGGTGTATGTCACACGTTCACCACTCACGGACCACTTCCATATCCCCTCTATCTCCATGTCGTTGCCACCTACCCAGGTAGCCATGTTAGCACCAATATCTGCGTGTGTCAAAAGAAATCTATCATGTAAACTTTGAATCGTTGGTATTAGTTTGAAATAATTGATTACAGCAGTTTGTGTGATTGAAATTGGGCTTGAATATGCAGTCAGTCTCATCTAAGAAATGTTAACTTAAAATATTGTTTTTACATTTATGTATGTGCTCGTTTAATATTACCGCCAAACACCTTCAGATAACCAGTTATGAAAGCGTTTTCGTCGGCCGTCTCAATAGTTGCAAGATGAGCTCCACGCCCGACACATTGTTGCTGAAATGAATGAATCTTTTAATACAAATCGCACAACTATATTTTGATATATACGTCTTAAAGAATGCAACATTCACTGTGCGTCATCAATAGGATCTCCTTAGCGGTTTGCAGTATACAGTATATTTCGTCAAGTTGTTGTGCTCACAATCCACAAACTACACTTGGCGGCACATAACAACTACGGTTCAACCATTAGTGCGAAACGTGTTTGTAAGAATGGCAACAATCCATGACGCATAACCACAGTTTTAGTTAGTTAAATTATGTCATGGATATCAAGTCAAAATTCGTCCCTTTTGGCCGGGAACATTTGAAACCTATGAGATAACCTCAAATGTTCAACAGTTAAGACATCTTTTTTTCACAGTGATAAACCATAGTTTCTAGAAAATATATTCTATCTTTAGGTAATCAGGTATTAAAAATGTTTATTTTGTTCTTGCGTTATAGCTGAGAATATTTAGTTCTAATTCCAATAAGGCTTGTATTTATGCCGTTTGTTTGTGTACAAAAATTGTACAAGTAAAACGGATCATGATACTCACAGATGCCTCCATCCATGTCTCCTGGGTGCCAATAAACATGTAACAGGAATTACCATATCGGATCCATGCATTTGGACAACAGTTGCCTGAGAATAAAGCATATTCAATGCATAGCGTGACAGCTTTACAGTATTGTTTCGTGTTTATATCCAATTTGAACTAATTACTAACAACTAACAACAGAAATCGCAAAAAAACACAACATCACTTAAAACACACGGATCAAACAGCTCTAAAATATTATACGAATTACATCTCTAATCTAATTGTTAACACTATTTTGCAAGAATACTCATGACATTTCCTACGAAGGCATTATCAACATCGGGTAACGATCAACAACGAAAGCTAGACCTTGGGGACTCTACGTTTGCTACCTTCAAAGTACCTCTAACAAATGAGAGATCACATTAAACAGATCCTCTCTTGATGACATAAATTGTTGTTTACAGAAAGAATTACATAAAAGTGACCTAAACCCGTACAGTCAGACAGGAGATGCTTCTTTTTGCTTCTGTTTCTGGTGATCAACTTTAAGTAAATATACATGTGTGGCCAATACGCCATTATGACAGAATGACTGCTTCAAACCTTGACATGTACAAAGATAATAATATAATCACGAATCCAATTGAATAGGATTAATGTACAAAGGTAACAATGTAAATACGAAGCTTATGGGAATATCGATGTAAGACGAAGTCAATAATCATTAGCTCTGAAACGTTGTGTGAAGAATACATTTTTTGTTGCATACTTTAATGTTTTACGAAACAGACACTGAATGTTTGCGATTAACTTTATCATGTTCATGTATTTGGTTGTGACAAGGGTCGATAATTTGAGGGATCGGTATAATCACTTTCATGTTTTGGTACATGAATACATGGCACGTTTTTTATGGATAACAACTTCTTTTTATTCTTTATACGTCATTTCAGAGCTAATTGTTACTCCTTCACGAGGTGCCTTTCAAGAACGTCATGTTTTGAAACAACTACAATATCACACAAGGAAGAATGGACAGTACCTCATATCCATATTCACCAACACATCGGCAGAAAACTTTCAAAGTAAGGTTCGGTAAAGGTTACGTCTGTGAGGAGCTGATCATTTAAGTATAACTGCATCATGATGTGAGGAGGTGAAATGGGGCTTAACCTCGTACTCGAATATTTCGCTCATATGACGACGTGCATGTTTGTGTATCTGTGGCTGCTTGTACTCGCCCAGACTTAAGCTGGTTTCATGGTCATAGCTCACTGAGACACCACGCCGCAGTTAAGCATGAATACCCCACTCAGAGATATCATACTGACTCCGCACCGACCAGTCCTTGTTGTACCCATTAATGCCGAGCGCCAGGTGGGGACCAACACGTACCATATTTTAACGCCTTTTGGTATGACGCAGCCGGGGACCGAACCCGCGACCTTCCGCTCTCCGGGCGGACGCTCTAACGCACTACACCACAACTGTATCATGAGTGCAAAATAACGCTCATGGATTGATAATAGTTTGCTACAATCTTCCCCACTAGCTGAGTATTTAAATATTGATAGCTTTGCTTATTTGCTGTTTTGTCATTGAGGAACTTGGGTTTATATGTACGAAGAATAATGCTTTAGAGACAAACTTTATGGATACTTTCTTTATTTCGTGAGTACAGCGATACAGGTTCTTGTACCATTGTCAAGAAAAATTGTAACACAAGGTCGAGAAAAATGTATACTAAATGGAACAAAGTGAGTGAGTGAGTTAATATTTAACGTTACATCGGCAATATCTCAGCCATATCGTGACGAAAACAATTTATACTGTGAAAAGTGAAAACATTTTGAAGATAAAACCTGTCGACGATGGACAGTAAAGATACTAGAGAATCACAGATATACATATAAAACTAGCGAGCAAAGCTAAAACATTCCAATTAAAGAAGACAATACAGTATAAAACACAGGCTATAGATCGCCAACAACTGAAGATAGATCACCATACTAGGAACCATGGGGACTTACATTACTTTTGCATGGACCCTAGTTGGATTTACACCATCCCTTCAGCCGCTGGCGATGGTCTGAGGATTTAGCCGAAATTTAAAATAACATGTATCAAAATTCATTTTAATAAAACATATATCAAAAATTCATTTAACAAATCTATCTCTTTTAACAAAATCAATGATTAAATGATAATTAACATCATTGAAAAGGTCCTTTACTGTTTTGATATTGAAATATTTATCCCTTATGATGGAGAATTCAACACAGTCCGGCAAGACATGCTTCACCGTGGTTCTCACATCACATGGGATACAAAACGGAGGATCCTCGCCTTCCAATAGGTATGCATGAGTATATCTTGTGTGGCCAATACGACATCGTCGTATGATGACCTCTTCAAATCTGGACTGACAGCCCAAGTAGGTGTAACCGATATAGGGTTTTATTTCATTTATTGATACGTACTTGGGTGTCCCACTTCTTTTGCATCAGATCACGGATGTAAGTTGTAATACTAGCTTTGTAATCAGAGTATGAAATAAGAAGTGGTGTCACAGATTTATTGAGTGCTGCCTTGGCAGCAAGATCGGCCATAATGTTCCCCGAAATGCCAACTTGTCTGGGTAACCAACAAACGACGATGTCGCATTGGCCAGTAGCAAGATCATTATATAATTAAATAATTTCTAATAAAAGTGGATGGTTACAAGAAAGATTTTTTTATAGCCTGAAGACAAGAAAGAGAATCTGAAAAAATGATATGTTGTTTATATTTAGGATGTTTATTAATATATTTAAGCGCTGTTAATATGGCATTTGCTTCAGCTGTGAAATTAGAACTATCGCCTGGTAATCTAGAAGAGATAGTTCCGGATCCAATGACAGTGGCACAAGCAACTGCGCCCCCATCCTTGGACCCATCTGTAAAAAAAGATTTGTATGTATTATATTGACTTTTTAATTGATTATATTCTTGTTTATATTGTAATTCATTGGTGTCGGATTTTTTAAACGTTGTCAGTGTTCGGTCAACTTCTGGTCTTACCAATTGCCAAGGAGGAGAATAAAAAAAGCGGGAAGGAGCTAAATATAGCCCAATGCCGGCAGCAGAAATGAATGGTATAATACTTAACCCAAGAGGTGGCTTTTTGTTGTACAAATCCTCATAGAGAGGATTGAAGACACAATTATATGTAGGGTTAGACTTATTTGAGTATAGTTTAGTGAGATACTGTAAAGATAATTTGATACGTCGTTGGTTAAGAGATGGCTCATCGGCCTCAACATAGAGACTGTCAACAGGAGAAGTTCTGAAAGGCCCAAGACAAAGTCTTAGACCTTGGTGGTGGACAGAATCTAATAGTTTTAGGTTGCCTTTGCAGGCTCCACCATATACGATGGAGCCGTAATCTAGTTTAGAACGGATGAGTGATCTGTATAAGTGTAGGAGGGTAGTTTGGTCCCCTCCCCACTTTGAGTTGGAAACAACTTTTAACAGATCAAGTACCTTCAGGCATTTAGCTTTGAGGGATTTAATATGAGGCAGAAAGGTTAAATGTGAATCGAAAATAACACCCAAGAACTTGGCCTCCTTCACAACTTTGATGGGTGTGCCATTTAGAGATAGTTCAGGGTCTTTATGCGGTTTGTATTTACGGCAGAAATGTATACAATTAGTTTTGGATTTAGAAAATCACATTGTATATTAGTTATAAGGTTATTGGTTTCCAAGTACCAAACTAGTCGATTGTTGTCTTTCAGTGGCATTTAGAAGTTGTACATTGATGTCCAAGATATTTTTATGGATTACAATTCTTGTTTAATTCCTCTCACGACGTTTCGAGACCATTCCAGGTCCGTTCATCAGGTGATCGATTGTTGATCATGCGTTCCATGGTTTTGCAAACGCAGCTAGTCAGTGATATTGGTCTATAATTTGAGGGATCTGTATGATCCCGTCCAGGTTTAGGTATGGGAACAATAATAGCATCACGCCATGAGGAAGGAAATTTTCCAGATGTCCAAATATCATAAAAATTATGTAAGAGCGTCTCTAAACATGATTCAGGTAAGTGCTTCAGGAGTTGATAATGTATGTTATCAGCTCCTGAAGCAGTATCGTGAGCCTGATCAAGAGCAGTATGAAGCTCATGTATCGAAAAGGTTTCATTGTAGTCTTCCCCGTTTTCCGAATTGAAATTAATAGATTTCTTTTCTTGTTGTTTTTGATATTTTTGGAATTCAGGTACATAATTAGATGAGGAAGAATATTTGGCCAACGTCTCACCAAGCTAATTTGCAATATCAGATTTATTGGTTAATAATTGGTTCCATTCTTTCAGATGGTGAATGCTAGATTTAGAACCCTTACCTTTGATTTTCTGGATCATATTCCACACCTTTGATATCGGCGTGCGTGAATTGATCTTTGAGACATAGTTTCGCCAAGAGTGGCGTTTACTTTGCTTGAACGTACGCCGTGCTTTAGCGTTTAAAATTCTAAATTTGTCTAAATTGTGGACTATAGGATGGCGACGGAAATAATGCTCGGCTTCCTTCCGTGCCTTCCTAGCCTGTTTGCATTCATCGTTAAACCACGGTTTTCGTACGTTTGGAATTGCAGAGGACTTTGGGATACACTCGTCAGCAATCTTATTTAGTTCATCTGAAAAACATTTTATGACATCAGGAATATCATTAAAAGCTTCAGGTTTTAGTTTGTCAGCACAGAGAATTTTATATAAAGGCCAATTAGCCTTTTTAAAATTCCATCTCGATGACAGAGGAACATCAGATGGATTCACGGCATTTAGTATTGTTGGGAAATGGTCACTACCACAGAGATCATCGTGGACTGACCATTCAAATTCACTCAATAGGTCAGTAATAGACAAATCAAGAGCTGAATATGTTCCTGTGTAAGGATGTAAATACGTATTTGAGCCGTCATTATAAATGCATAAATCATTATTGGAAATAAATTCCTCCAGTAATTTAGCTTTGGTGTTTGTAATAATGCCACCCCAGAGCGGGTTATGGCCATTTAAATCACCCATGATTATACAGGGTTTAGGTAGTTGATC